TAGGGAAGAAGAAATGACCCCAGCACTTACGTAAGTATTTTTGGGATACCACTTGGAATGTATAAAAATGAGTTTTTTTTTCTTCAAAAAGTACATTTAGCATCCAAACACAGCTTCTGATTCTGACTGCACGTCACCCATCCATTTAAACACTAGCTTCCAACTTACCTTCATGAATTCCCTCAACTCCCTTTAATAAAAGAATATCCCTTTTTTATTCTACCTATTCTTTACCTTATATAATAAATATGCTTATCTATTTAAGTAATATTTCTAATATGATATTTTATAAGAATTTAAAAATATTTTATTTTATTTGAATTATGCAGATTACATAGGCCATGCAATAATATATCTCTTTCATGAACCATCTCGCTTTAAATTATTCTTAATATTCATCTAAGCTATTGCAACGATATAGAAAGTGTTTAGTTCGTGCGTGTGATTGTTTCGATACCCTACACGTAAATTAGGTATAAAATCGTATCAATTAATTAAAATAACGCAGCACAATTGTAGAGAAGTTTAACTACAATGATTTTCAAAAAATGTATAAATGGAAATTTATTAATATCCCATATATATATTAGTTACGAATTTAAAGACAACAAAAAAAAATATTTTGGTTATTAATATCATATTATATAATGTCCAAACAACTCTGACAAATATCGAAGAACTAACAAGTATAACACTATCAACAAAACTTATTTACCATTGTGTTTCTTGATGTTGCCATTTTGTGTGTAAAACACCCTTACTCGAGAGATGAGGCACAGCATTAATATGCCTTAACATTTTTCAAAAACAGTGCTACAGCCTAAATGTGAAGGCGTCAAGTGCAAAATACCATACCCTTAATGCTAATGGTAGTAAAGCATAAACTTTGGAGTATAAGTGGCCTCAGATCAAAATTTCTCCCATTTTCAAAATAAAGGGTCATCTGCATCTCAACCACCAAAAATCAAGACAATCAGCCACTGAATACAATATTTTAAATAGCATATTGACAAAAAGTAGAACCAAGTAAAAAAACTATAAAAAAAAGTGTGTGAAATGATATACAATACGGATAAGGAATGGTATTGTCAACCACATCCATAGTTTATATCAGGTGTTGCAGCAACAGATGAAAATGGAATTTCAACTCTCTCTTTCACTAGGCATCGAGCTTCCCCATTTTCCATCACTAGAACTCTCCCTGGTGGACACTGAATATTTGGTCTCTCACCCCCATTTTTAGTTGTGGATCTCTCTTCATGTCCTACTCTGTGACGCCAGGCTTGCACACTGAAACGAGTGCCTAACTTGCCAAAATTAGGTCCAAAACCAGACAAACTTAATATTGATACCACGCCAACTACTGTGAGCATTGTTTTGGCAGCAGAAGTTATAAAAAATCCCAATCCTTTTCTTGAATTTTTCGCTTCATTTTCATCGTGATTTTGCTCTTTTTCGTTGAGACTCTTGTCCGCCTCAATCATTGGATCAAGTGTGAATAACCCATTGCGACCAGACTTATTCACGGAAGGGATCTGCGAGAGATAGGCCTTGTCCATAGACACAGAGTATGGAGGGCGGCTAGGATATGGAGGAAGTAGTAGATCATTGTTGGGCTCCACCGTTTCACTTGCAAAAGTGGAAGCTTCGTGTATAACTTCCAATTCCCTACCTTTGTACTCCTTGAGCTTGTCAATTAACATTTTGCGACTGCTTTCAATCTCAGCCAAGGCAATTTCTCTTTCATACCGCTGTTGCTGCTGCAGAACCTGTATATTGCACATGCACACAACACATGATTCCCAAACTATTAACTTAATCGCATTTTTTATTATTTTCTCCTGGCAAAGCATATAAATAAATCAGATAAACTATTGAAATCATCTTACAAACATTATTCCCAAACTATTATCTTATTTGCATTTTGATTATTTTCTCCTGTCAAAACATATAAATAAATCGGAAAAACATTTAAAATCATCTTACAAGCATTAATACAAGTTCCTCGTATTAATAAACAAAATCATATTCATGTAGTGGCACAAAGAAGCAAAGAGTGTGAAAGACTGAAGGCATATTGATCGATTCCTGGTTCCAATAAGTCAAGTTCCACTTCACATAGTAGATTTGCTAGGTCAAGAATGAAGAAATCATTCATTTCGAATGTAAATATGCAGAGGAATTGTATCTGTAAGTAAGCACAAACATATACACCAAGTTTCCACAATAATCTAATCAAGCATCTTGTGCAATTCGAGGGACAGTTTAGTTTGAGAAAATACTTTCTGTTTAGTTTTTATTACAAAATACCACTTTATTTCCTATTTTTCAAAAGTTTGCATAGAAAACTATTGAAACAATTAGAGAAAAAAATACAAGTAACACCAACATAGAGTAGCCATATACAATAAACCTCAAAATAGAGAAGAAGAGTACCATAGAAACACCTATTTATAGAGCTTATTAGATGATGCAACTACCTTCTAACAAACCAATAACAACTAAACAATATTTTTAACAAAGCACTCTTAACAGTTATCTCCATCGATTAGTTTAAATTTTTGGAAACGTGAAACAAAAAACACACTGCAGATGCACCAAAACAACCACCAATCTGAGACCTACTCACTGTCACTGAAGCAGGCAGCAGCAAATCAAGTAACCAACCATAAAAACTCATCTAAAATAAAGTCAATCATGACACCCTCACAATTCCCAATCACTAAAAAGCCCCAAAATAAGAAACCCTAAAATTTTAATTTTAATTTAAAAAAATAAAAAAAGAGAGATTTTGAAAAAAAGGGTACCTGCAAGGAAGAAAGCTGGGTCTCCAAGGCTTCAAGGGCATCGCAAATGTTGAGAAGGCGTTGAGTGGCGTCATCGTCGTCGTCGTCGGCGTGCGGAGAGGGAGCATTGGCGGTGGCCCTGTGGATGCAATTGGTGATTTTGAATCGAAGTTCTGTGGCTCTCGCCAAGACCAGCCCTATTCCTTCCTCTTCCATCGCTCTCTCTCTCTGTCTTGCTTTGTTTCTACCCTAAATTCAAAGGAGGGAGGGACCTTAGTCCTTACATGAAATAGAAAACCGCCAAAACACACACCTCTGCTCTGCTATGCCACTGTCTCACAGACAAACAAAATCTACCCTCTCTCACTTTTCCATTTTCTCAAACTTCCCTAACAGACAAATACCAACACTTTCCACAAATTACCACTATTCACTTTTCCTTTTTTTAGTAATATTATTAAAATATATTATCACAACACACACAAAAACAAAAACAAAAACAAAAATAATTTCCCACTCAAGAAAGTTTAGAATCCTTTAAAAGTATATTTGGTTCCACATCATTTATGTCTAATCAATTTATTGTACATAAAGATAATGAGAATCATGATATTTCATTATTATAAAATTGATTTCAAGATATAAAAATTCATACCTATTTAAAAATAATGATTAATAATTTTTTATCAAATAAAATTAATTTTATAATTTTTTATAATTATGTACTCAAAATTATTTTTATATTAATTTTTTAAATAATATTTAATATAAAAATTAAATTAATATTTCTTATCATTTAAACAAAAATCACATTATTTTTAATTTATAATTATTTAAAATTAATTTTACAAATTTATGTCGATTCAAAATCAATTAAATAAATACATATCTAACCATACACTTAAAAAGAATGTATTTGTCCCGTTTTAAAAAGTGAAAATAGTGTTGGATATATATTTATTGCCGCAGTTATATTGTACACCCCAAAAAAATGTAGGTAAAATTCAACCGTACGTTTCGGACTAAATATAGAACCTAATTTTTATCTTATTATCATAATTTCTTATGTCTATAAGAAGAGAAATGCTATCACTCGTTATCAAAGAAAATGTGGTTTTAACGGTGGAATTCCTCGGTTGGAAAGGGATAATCTTTTACAACATGGTAAATTAAGATATGAATTTTTTCAATCAATTTGACTATAATGGTTGATAGATAACCCCACGTTTGATTTCTAACTTCGTATGTATAAATAAACCAGAAGAAAATTGTATACCTACACTAATTTGAGTAGTTTTGTCTCTCAATTAAATACTACCTCCTTTGTTGCATAAAATAAATAAATACTTAGATCATAAAAAAAAATACTTAATTTACTATGACGAATAAAAACAATTAAATTAATTAACTAGAATAAATAATGTCATAATTTAAAATTTTATTTCAAGAATATTCATAAAATAAAATGAGATAAGTAATAGCTATCAAAAATCAATGATTTTTTTTTTTAATATGGTGTTAGCTACTTAACAAATCTTGATAAAAAGTTATTTAATAAATATATTTATTTTTATAAAAATTATTAAATGATTCATTAATAATCTCATAATAAAATAAAAATATAAAAAAGTTATCAACTAAAACGTTTAAAAATGGACATTTATTTCTTATAATTAGAAGAAGAAAAAATAAGACTCACATTTATTTTATGATTTAGGGTTTAAGTATTTAAATTACGTTTAATATGCGTAATGAAGAAAATAAATATCAAATTGAAGTCAATTCGTATTTCTATCCGACTTCACCAACCTTACTATTAGGCCGGTCCTCCTAATGATTTAAGTATATTTAAATATTTGACAGTAAATAATATATGTTAAAATACTTTTTTTTTCTTTATAATTTTATTAATTTTACTTTTAATTTTTATAATTTAAAAATATATTTTTATATTTATATTTTTTTTAAAATTAGTCTTTAGTATTAATTTATTTGTAATATCATTTTTGTGTGAATTACATGGATTTATTCACATAGTTAATGTTAAGTTATAAAAAAAAATAATTAAAAAATATAAATCTAGAATAAAAGATACAATTTAAAATTTAATAAGTCATGTTATTCACATAATTAGTGTTAAGTTACTAAAAAATTAATTAAAAAATATAAATATAAGATAAAAAAAGATACAATTTTTAAATTATTTGACTTAAATTTTAAGATCTTAAATTTGAGTTAAGTGTAATAAAAAAAAAAGCATTATGAGAAAATACTTCCGACCAAAATCTAAAAAAATAAAATAATTGAAAGTATATGAATTTAATTTTTAATTAATAATATATTTGATTTTATTTTAATCAATTTAAGTGTGTGTTTGGTGTTGCATTTTAAGAATTAATTTATCAAAATTAATTTTTTAAACATAGAAGCTATTTTTATCAATTTCAGGCAAAATTGATTTTCACCCTTGAAATTATGTAAAGAAGAAAAAATCAAACATTTATTTAAAGAGAAGAATCACGTTTTTTTTTTGTGAAGAAAAATACGTGCGTTAGCATGATGCAACGCGCATCCAAACACACCCTAAATCCATGACAATTATGATGTATTTCGATAAATCCAATCATAAGCTGAGCTGTAATCATGCATTATTGTTGTACTTGGAAGCTGTTTTTGACTGGGAATAGAGGCTTCCCATAAAGGGAACCAAATGTGAAAGTCACGCAAGTTCATATGCCACCTTTATTCCCATTTATTTATATATATAATGCATGCTTAAAGGTGCATCGTGCATGAATTAAAATTCAAAGCAAACCTAGAACATCATCATATATATATTCCATGTTTTGAAGTTTTCAATATTATTGTTTGTCAATAAAATTAAAATGGTGTTACGGTATTACCCCTCTTTTTTTGGTACTAGAAGGAACAAACTATCATTTTCGAAAGCAATAGCCACTGCCCAGTGACAATGGCAACGAGGTCCCTGAGAGTGAGAGATGCTTTGGTATACCGTGACCATGTCCAAGCAATAAAGTCTGGTTTGGTGTCAAGCATTTTCACTTGTAATCAACTCATTCACCTTTATTCCAACCATGGCCTTTTGCAAGAGGCCCACAAACTGTTCGATGAAATGCCCCACCCAAATGTATTCTCTTGGAATGCCATAATCATGGCTTACATAAAAGCACACAACTTGACTCAAGCACGAGCCCTTTTTGACATTGCCTCTCACAGAGATTTGGTTTCTTATAATTCCATGTTATCAGCTTATGTTGGTGCTGACGGGTGCGAGACTGAGGCACGTGATTTGTTTGCTATTATGCAATCTGCACGTGACACAATTGGGATTGATGAGTTCACTCTCACAACCATGCTTAACCTTACAGCCAAACTACGTGTGCTGTGTTATGGGAAGCAGATGCATTCATATATGGTGAAAACGGCAAATGATTTAAGCAAGTTTGCTTTGAGTTCTCTCATAGATATGTACTCTAAATGTGGTTCCTTTCAAGAAGCATGCAATGTATTTAGCGGTTGTGATGGGATGGTGGACTTGGTTTCAAAGAATGCAATGGTTGCAGCTTGTTGTAGGGAAGGAAACATGAACATGGCCTTAAATGTATTTTGGAAAAATCCTGAACTGAATGATACTGTGTCTTGGAACACATTGATTGCAGGATACGCCCAAAATGGCTATATGGAGAAATCACTTACCTTGTTTGTTGAGATGATAGAAAATGGTATTGGTTTCAATGAACACACTTTAGCAAGTGTTTTGAGTGCCTGCTCTGGTCTAAAATGTTTAAAACTTGGCAAGTCTGTCCATGCTTGGGTGTTGAAAAAGCGTTACAGTTCGAATCAATTTATTAGCAGTGGCATTGTCGACTTCTACTGTAAGTGTGGGAATATCAGATATGCAGAGTTAGTCTATGCAGAAATTGGGGTTGAAAGTTCATTTGCAGTTGCCTCATTGATTGCAGGCTACTCATCTCAAGGTAACATGACAGAAGCCCAAAGGCTTTTTGATTCACTGTTGGAAAGAAACTCTGTTGTATGGACAGCTCTATGCTCGGGCTATGTCAAATCACAACAATGTGAGACAGTCTTCAAACTTTTCAGAGAGTTTATAACTAAAGAAGCACCAGTTCCTGATGGAATGATCATCATCAGTGTGCTTGGTGCCTGTGCAATACAAGCTGCCCTAAGTTTGGGAAAGCAAATTCATGCTTACATTTTGAGAATGAGATTTATTGTGGATAAGAAATTACTGAGTGCTTTAGTTGATATGTACTCAAAATGTGGAAATGTTATATATGCTGAGAAAATCTTCCGGCTAGTTACTGATAGTGATAGAGATGCAATCTTATATAATGTCATGATAGCTGGTTATGCTCATCATGGTTTTGAAAATAAAGCAATTCGGCTTTTTCAGGAAATGTTGAATAAAAGTGTCAAGCCAGACGCAGTCACTTTTGTTGCACTTCTATCAGCTTGTCGACACCGTGGATTAGTAGAATTAGGAGAGCAATTTTTTATTTCCATGAAACAAGATTACAATGTATTGCCTGAAATTTATCACTATGCATGTATGGTCGATATGTATGGAAGGGCTAAGCAACTAGAAAAGGCAGTAGAATTCATGAGGAAGATTCCTATACAGATAGATGCTACTATCTGGGGAGCATTTCTTAATGCTTGTCAGATGAGCAGCGATGCAGCACTTGTCAAACAGGCAGAAGAGGAACTATTAAAAGTTGAGGCAGATAACGGGTCTAGATATGTGCAGTTGGCCAATGCCTATGCTTCCAAAGGGAAATGGGATGAGATGGGAAGAATAAGAAAGAAAATGAGAGGATACGAGGCTAAGAAGTTTGCTGGATGCAGTTGGATATATGTGGAAAATGGTATTCATGTATTTACTTCTGGTGATACATCTCATTCAAAAGCAGATGCAATATATTCAACTTTAATATGCTTGAATGGGAAACTGTATCTTTCGCAGAACTGAAGCAACTTTATGAAATTCAAGGTGATGTTTGGGATATATTTTGATGGTTAACTAGCCAATGCCACTAAAAGTGGATGCTCTGCCATATAGGAATCATAAGAGCACCATCCAATGCAGCATGCTTATAGATACTGTAGTAGCAAGGAATTGGATTTATAGTCAACTGAAATTATAGTACTACTACAAAAATTATTGGAAGACTATTTTTTTTTTCTTGAAAGTGCATTTGGAAGAGACGTAAGACAGTTTTTAGAGGCAGAAACTCCAACTTTACACCAACCTAGTTCAATTGACCATCCCACTACCCAAATTTAGACATATAAGGGGTGGTGATATTCAGTCAGGTGTGTGACATGTCCTCCTTACACACATACATAGTTACATATGTTTGTTCTGATATATGTATATAGCCTTTAGAGATCTTAATTAATGGTCCATCATTATGTCTTTGCTGTAAATGGTATTTAGGAATTAACAATTGAACCCACATGTTAATATATGTGATATTGTCTTATCCTATCCTATTACAGAATCTCTAGCAAACGCAGTAAAGAGCAACACAACAATTAATTTGGAGTGAAGTTTTAGTAGATTATAGATTCTGTGAAGGCAGTTTTTCAAGACAGAAAAGATGTTTCTCAACAATCTACACAACCAACAGTGTCTCATATTTGGTGACATGTGGAACATAAAGGAGGATTAACGCTCAGTGATTATGAAAGTTCATGGTGATTCCACCCTTAAGCATGCCAGTGCTACTATGGGTGATCTGATGCGTGCAAACGACAACATAGGAACAGGTCCAGAATTCTTATGCTTTAGTTCAGTTTTCAATCATGTGAGGAGCAAGGAAAAAGTCAGCTCCTTGATTGCCGCTGTATTTGGTTGTTGAGTTTTGATTTTGCTGCTGGTTTTCTATTCTTCTTGGGCTGCTGTTACTGTAAAGACAGTTTGTTGGTATAATCAACATTGTGAAGGCAGAGGTGGATCCTTGTAGGGAAGGAAAAGCTGTTCAAGTTTAAAAGGATCTGTGCGGACCACAACATACAACAAGAGCCCATCCTTCACCCGTGAAGTTTTGCTGCGGTTTCACGTTGAGTGTTTCTTAAGGTCTTTGGATTTGCATGGGTCCTTGGAGATAATTTAGATACATTTGGCTTGTTATGTTTATGGTTAGTTAATAATGCAGTACTTTAAGTACCACTTTAATCAGTTTATAATGTCATCCGTTATGTGATTTTAAATTTTAATCTAGCGTAAATTTATTAATTCCTTTCCTTAAAGGAAAACAAGAAATCGTGGTTCCATCTAAATAATTAAAACTTGAAGGAATAATTAAAATTTGAGAAATTCTGGAGTAAATTTTTCAATGATTCTCTTGTTACCTTTCATGTTGTATGACCAAAAGGCCACAAGAATGTGCTTCTTAGTATTGCTGGGTGACAATAATGATTTCTACCAAGCATACACCGAGAAAAAGTGTTCAGGATTGATCCATCAGACAAAGCAGATGCCGAGGAAAAGAATTAAGAATATACATCCATAAATTGAAAAAAAAAAAATATATATATATATATAGCTATATTAAAATACTTAAACACTAGGACCTTAGGATACAGTTCTGCAGCAAAAATTATGTTGTCTAAGCTCCCAAAATTTCCAGATTGTTGCTTGCTATCTGACGTACATCTGTCTCTGCTCCGTACTCTCACCTTAGTGTTGCCATTCTGTGTTTAATATTTTCATAGATATGAGGCAGACAATTATTATTTACCAGTTATGCTTTGAAGCAGACACATTTCCTTCTTGCACAATACACCTGTGCTTACCATCAAGCGTAATTCTTGGATAGATATGGATAGACAGACAATTATTTTACCCACAGATGCATGAATCCTACCAAGGCATGCCATTACCAATCTAATTCCTTTGAAATCAAGTAATGGAAGGTGAAGTTATGAGGGGTTAATTCAATGCTTTTCCAGCTTGTCTTTGATTGAGAATCGTTAATGCTCTTCCTTTGAGAATTATTGGGTAGATAAGGCTTAACCATCTCCATCATATCAGATGCTCCTAGACCTGAATTTTTTGCAAAGGAATCAACTATCTTTGGGAGAACTATTTTCTGTTCCTTATTTATAGAAAAGGTGCACTGAATGTATTCTTCTTTGGCATATTCTAGCTCCTCAAAAACCCTCTTGGATGTGTACATACGTACCTGAGAAGGTTACAACCAAGACCAGGTGAGATTATGAGAAAATGACCAAATACAAGAATAAGTCAAGTACCGTGTCGTATCTATTATTTATAACCTTAATCTAAGAAGGATGTAACTATAATAAATGCAAGAATCTAAGTACAAAGTCATATCTATTATTGAAAATCTTCGTTCGTTCAAATCATTATATTCAGACCTATAGACAATGTTTCATTTTGGAAACTACATCTTTAGAGATAGGATTTTCTGTTTCCTTGAGATACCAGGAGAAGAGGTTAAATACAACTAAAAATGCAGGTTTGTACATATCCTTCAACATTGACAAATAAGCAATAAGTTTAGCAAGACCAGAAATCTACCGCAGGATCAGAATGGCTTCCTGAGCAAAGAGCAAATAGTAATAAAGGTTCTGGACGATGTATGGCGTATCCTTTTCTTGCATCTCTAACCTTTGGTTTTGCCATTGAAGGAAACCACAACCGCAACCACTGGGAGAAAAAGAAAGGCGTAATACTTAGTTAAGAAAGGTATTTGGTCAACAGGATTTGATCAACGCTAAACTTGTTTGTTTACTATGTAAAATAAAATATGCAGTCTTCTTAGAAGTTTCTGGAAATCAGATTTACTTGTCCTGGGCGAGGCAATCTGCATCCCAGAATGAAGTTCTGTATCAGGTCTACGCTTATAGTATGTCCCCCAATGTTATATGCAGCCTGAAATATCCTATTTTATTTAGTAAAAATCCATATGTACCAGTCAATTCTTTTATTATGAATGAGAAACTTACCTTCAGTACCGAAGACATTCTTTTAACATTGTTGGCTGAAATTCCATAAACTAATAAGGCCTGTGGAGGACAGACAACAACATGATAGGATTGGTTCACTGACTTGAAGCAATAATATGCATGAGATAAAGAAGACTAGAGATTTAGAAATTTTACATGCATTGCTAAAGAATTGTGCACATTAATCCAAAAGGCAAGCTTTTCTTCATGCTTCATATTTCTAGGATTAACATCTTCCAGCCGAGAAACAAGTGACCTGCAATAAAGTAGGATATGAAGTTGTCCTATAACACAAGAAAAAATCCAACCAAATTTGTATAACACGCACATCTTGCTTGGGGCATTATACTATTGTTGATAACTTCAATTTTTATGGTCAAAACGTTAATGTGTAGTTTCTTCATACAACTAACAGATCATTTAGAAAGGAAACTTGAATTTGAATAAAACAAAATGATAAAAAAGAATAAGTATTATAAGATGGCTCACCTAAATCTTCGTAGCATGTACTCAATTTCTTTTAATTTCTGATTATCTGTGCATAATTGCTGTATCCTTATCATTGAGCAATAAGGTCCACTAAATTCTTTGGACCCTCTGACATGGAAAGGGTTAGTGGAGTTCAAACTGAAGGATGAATTCTTCTTCCATTGTGATTTCCACTTACTACCCTGGCTCTGTGAAGATAACTCATTACCGGACGATGAGAATGACATAGGGGATGAAGCACGTTTATGACCAAGAGAAGGTGGCTCTGCAAGTTCACAATATATAGCTGATATGCACTTAATCATCTCCTCAGATAGCCAATTTGGTGTTTCTGGAACATTATCAACATAGCTACTCCCAAGATGCTCTGCCAGGCTGGTTGAACTGGATTTAGCACACTGAGCTTGCTGGTATTATAAAATTTGGAAAAGTTAACAGAGAGGCCTGCATAAGAAATAAAAGGATGTAACCACTTTTCTGGTTTTCTTTATACTTTACCTCTAACATGGATAATGGTAGAGAATGGTAAGAGTCAACAACAGCTTTGGTCTCAATGTTCCCAGGAGAAGCTTCAATCGAGCACACTGCTCGTTGAGATATTGCAGAGTGACATCGATGAATACTAGAGTCTAAAACAGTTTCTGATTCCAACTGGTTACTGCATTCCTTAAGCTGAAAGCCAGCTGAATTTCTGGGTGAAATGACATTACTACAGTGCACAACTGAAATTTCTTTGTCAGAGATAGCATCATTGTCAGGCACTGCAGATGTTCCTTGATTAGTGTCTGAAGCTAATTCCAATCTTCTTTCCTTGGTTGATAGAGATGAAATTTGCTGATCAAATCTTTTCCGATACAAAGAGAGTAGGTATTGTTCTAAATACACGACTTCTAATTCTAATATTCCAATTTCCTTAATCAGTTCTTTTGCAGCCTAAAATTACACAAGACATGTATATAATGGATAGTCAAAAGCAAGATCCAAAAATTTCAATTTAGAGATTAAAACTGTACTTCCATGTAACTGTACCTTGGGTATTGAAGTTTCTATTGTAGCATCCTGTGAAAAAGGAACATAGCACGCTTTCTCTAATGCACGCCGTATCACAAATTGTTGTTGCAATCGTTTTTGAAGCTGTAGAATCTTCAGAGATACAAAAACTATTAATATGTTTGGTTACAGTTCAACGTCAAAAATATTTCGTTCAACGCCAAAGCAACAAAATGTTGTTTCTTCATTTTTGTGCTTGGGAATGTGTAAAATCCCATTTGCAATGAGACAAACAGGTTCCCAAGTATGCACTATATAGTATGTAAAACTATCAACCAAATGCAAATAATCGGTCAGGATTTGCACCTCTTGAGTCAAAGAACTTTGTAGATCCATATTATTGTATTGCCTCTTCTTGGATTCAATGCTTTGCTTTAGTTCCCCCAGTTCCTTTTTGTCGTATAAAAGAAAGAAGATAACTAAGAGTTATAAGTATTTGCTTCTATGAACTGAAAGTCATTCTTTTATGAGAATACTAAAATCTGGCCAAATTAATCTTAAGGAAAATGCCCTATAATATTGCTCGGAAATATGCAGCAAGAAGGTAAAGGTGGTCTGAGAGTCGGAGAAATACCACTTCAGGCCGATATGAAGCTTCACTAATGTTCTCTAATCCATCTCTCATAACTCTCCTTTTCATTGGGTCACTGCCAAACAGTAACAAAAAATGTCAATAATAGGGAGTGAAGCACATAATATCTTTAAAATTAGCATTGTTCCTTTTAACCTGCAAAAGTAACACAAAGAACTTCCTCGTAGGACAAGTTTTGGCATGAAACAAGTACGAAATTGAACATTGTTTTTGTTTTTAAATACTTGCTACTGATTAAAAGTATTTTAGGAACATGACATTCGATGTCAAAAACTATTAAGTATTAACTGTTACGTTGCTCCAGTGTTATGATCATGAGAAACAAAGTAAGATTACCTATATTTAATAACATAAATCCGTAGAAGCAAAAATTCTAGATAACTTGAAGAACCATTATTTGGTTCAAAAGTGAATTTACTGAAGAAGAAGAAGAAGATGCGTGTCACTGCAACTCTTTCTTCAATTTATTTGGTTTAGAAAGACAAAAAGTTGGTGAAACGAGAAATAGCAGAAAATGTTGAAAGTAGGAAACGGTTGTCTGCAAAAACCTGTTGGAGCGCTTGTGACTTGAAATTGAAACGGTTGGGTCCATGGACTTGAATTGCTTGAAACCAGAATCGCGCCACTTTGCTTCATGCATGTTAGTGTCAGAATTGGCTTAAACACTGTCCATAAATGCAACAAAACACCATTAAATGTGACAGACACCAGGACCAGATATTGACAAGTTTCATAAATGTGACTTTGTCAAAATGGGAAGATACATCCAAAATACATTAATTTAAAAGCATAGCTGCGCTTACAAGCAGCAGAATCTCCACTCTGATGGAATGAGACTTCTCGCACAGACAAGCTTTTGGAAAGCTGAATCAAGTTTGGTGGTTCAAAAACCAAACAGACTCTTAGTTATATTATATCTATTTCAATTACAGAAACACATTGTCCCCTTTTATATACGCCAGGTAAATGTTACTTTCAACCACTATGGTACAAAGACAACAACAAGGGTATATTTGTGCAGTACTGCTGTTGACAAACAATCTATGAACCTCATTAGACCCTTTTTTTCCTTTTCATTTTGACTAGTCTCACATGACTAACCAACCCACCCTTTTGGAAGCCTTTGATAAAGTTTTTTGCATTTCATCAAAAGAAGAAAAATCATGTCATATCTTTTGTGGAATGTATTTCAAAGTAAAACCTTGGGATTAGAAAAGAATGATATGACAAGAAACATGGAGGCAAACTAAGATATGTGTATCGCAGATTATGCTATCAACAATGATGCAAATATATTGCATGCATGTTTAAAGGCACTCCCAACTTTGAAGCTTTTGTGCTGGTTGGCTTTTGGCATTGCATTAAAAGAAGCACATCAGTTTGGTTTTTCCCTTTATCTTGTCTAAAAGCCGATACCTTCACCGTTTAGAATTGAACATAGTGACAAAATACTGAGTGGTGATTAAGATGGTAGTGTGGACTTACATAATGCATTGCATACAGTTCCATCCACTCGTGCACTTCATTTCTTTTCTTTGCCATTCCAAGAGCAAACTCCCATGTGATGCGTTTCACAAATCATTTTGTTTAAATGGTAAAAGTGTAGTGTCCTTGAAGTTTGATCAAGTCATATTTATTTTCCTTCTTTTGCCCTCCACTTCATTAAACAATGGTAAGTATATCTCTTAGTTTATAGTGAAACATGGCCCCTAATTGTTTAATTTATACTAAAAACAACAAATTTTACCAACCAATTAGACTACCTGGCACCATCCTCCTATTACACTGGGAGGTGAAACCGATTGGTAATAACTTCACTACCTAATCTTGACAGTATTTTGTCTAATTATTGGTCACACTGGTGTAAAGAATTACCATAATGTTATACAAAGAAATTTCAACATAATATTACATAATTCAATGATAATTTTAAGAATGTAAAATTATATTAATTTTGAGTTTAATGACTATGTACCGATTATGTTAAATATTTCTACATTGACAATCATTCAGAAGTCATCGAAGATATGATTTTTCAGTGATTTATTATAAAAGTTTACAAGTTTATCATACATGGTGATTTATAATTGAATAACATTGTAGAATGACTTTATACTGTTGTCGCATATAACCTATTTTTTGGTTAATTTTTGTACCACGAATTTATAGTGTTACCCCCCATGAGGCCATGACCCCTCCACTAGGCGATGCTAGCAACGTGCGGGAAGATTGAAGAAGAAAACACAGTGAGTTTGGTCACTTGAAGAAAAAAGAAGACGCACTTGAAGAAAAGCAGCCTCAAAAGGGCTGAAAGTTTATTGTCAAAGGAAGAAGCAGTGTGTTTTGATATGAAGTGACTGGTTTTGGTGGGCTGTCTTTTGTCTAATTTCATAGAGAAACTTACTTGGATACAACCAATCTTTGCATTGTCAATGACTTTGGTGGGAAAAAGTGCCATGCCTTTTCTCATTGGATAGGGTGCTATGCACGTAGGGAAGAGCATCAAATAATGTCTCTATGTAGTTACAAAAATGTGTATACATATTTGATGTCTCCGTAGTTAATATGTAGACACATATTTTACACTAGCCAAATGATACCCTTTGATGAACACTGCTTTCTTTTTTCCCTTCTCTTTACCATTAACAAAAGATGGAAAAAGCTTTTCACAAGTTGACAATAAAATATACCCGCCTGCTACTTTTTTTTGTTTTAGTTTAATTTGGCATGCATGTTAGGTGTATACAAAATAGATTCACCAATTCTTGATATGAAACAAATTTACCAGTGTAAAAAACTTTTATAGTGTCTATGCTGCATTAAATAAAAAAAGAAGAAAAAAAAAGTGTTGTGCTTTATTAAATCCATATGTCAGATGTGTGTAATATATAAGTTAAAACTTAAAACCAGTTTTGGCTCTTGCGACTTGTAAATTCTGACGCACTTTTTGATATTTCACGAAGTTTCTAGTTTGACTTGTGGCTTGGTTGAACCAATCTGAGTTTCTGCCTCTGATGAACACAACAGGAAAAGGAATAATTAATTAGAAATGAACCTCTCTTATCGAGCAAAATCATTATCAATTTTTCAAAGGAAACTGACAAACATACTTGCTGCTTTAATTATATAAATCAGACCATCAGAGGACAGTTTCTTTCAATAATCCTAAACCAACCAAAATTCTACTAATTTCAAGACCTCAGAATTAGTGCAAACATAACTAATTAATGTGTCATGAGACGAGGCCATAACTAATTAGTGCAATTCTATGAAAATTAAAAATAAATATACAAAAGTTTCACGTAATAAGATGGGAGTATAAAATTGCGCTAGGTAACAAGTATTTTAAAGACATTATTGAATATAATTTTTTGAATAAATTCAATTACTTGAAAATAAATATTATTTATCAAATTTTAAAAAATATTGTTCATATTATTTGTTCATTTATAAATTTAAAATGATATTATTTTTTTTAATTAAGTATTTGTTCTTATGGAATACATAAAGATTCTATAACTTATTATTTATTTATTTCTATTTATAAAAAAGATTACAAAGATAACAACATGATCAAGCTTAGAATGTTGTATGTATATATATATATATATATA